TCTTTTTTTTCCTTCTTCTTTTTCTTCTTGATTCTTTTGAGCTGTTCTTCTTCTGTTTCTGTAATAGGGAAACAAACAAATGAGAATAATTGTAATTCAAATAAAACTTTAAGCTCCCAAATTTAAAATTGGCCAGATGAAAAAAAATGATGGGGGTGTAAAAAATAGCCTATAATTTCACACTCTGCTAACCTGCGCCTTTGGGCGAAGCCAATGTCTCCATCTCCTCCGTTGTCATCGCAGCTGGCGCCAACTTTAAAGACGACGTTTTACTCTGGCTCCGCAAACAAATCAGGGTCTTTTGTTTACAGAAAGAGTCGGGTGGGGGTCAAGACCCGCTTAACAACCCAAAACCCGCTTTATTTTCGATATAATAATAACACTTTCGGGTCCAAACCCGATTTTGACCCGTTTAGACTCTAAAAAAAGTTGACACTTTTCTCTAGGACTGAGCATGGTTCGGTTCAAACCGAAAAACCGACCGAACCAAATCGAAGATAACAGTTCGGTTCGGTTTTATTTGTAGGACGGTTCGGATCGGGTTGAAAACTTTTCAACCCAAACCGACCGAACTGATAAGATCAAAAAAAAAAAAAAAAAATCAGTCCGTTTTGAAAAATTGTTCTTTTGGAAATTATTGAGGGGATGATATGTTAATTGCTTCTTATACATTGATTTTAAATAATATTTTATTTGTCAAATCTCATGATATTAGGTTAAACTTTTGTTTGCTTGGCCATTGGGTTTATGATTCTGTACATTTCATCTTGATTTATTCAGGTTTGAATTAATTTGTGTCGTGGTTGTCTTAACTACTAGTATAGAATTTTGTGTATGATTTTTCAGTGGATATAGGCCATAATGTTACATATGCATAATATAGGGATTGTTTTGTACACTGTAATTGGCTGCAATACATTTTACAAGAAATGGTTTATTTTGCAACTGCTATCGCAAAACAAAAAATAACTGTACATAAAAAAAAAATCAATTGTACATCATTCTTCTACATCTCAACTGAGAAATTTCATCACCTATTTGTCCTTCATTTCTTCATTCATAATGGATGTAAATTAACAAGTAAAATACCATTCAAGTATTGAATAGCTTACAAAATTATGTGATATGCATGCACTTTATGTATGCTTATACGTCAGAAAACTCCCAGGTTGCCACATGACATGGGACATCAGCTGTATCTCTTATTCTTAAACCTCACTGCTTGAAAATTGAAAGTGCGGCTCCTTTCTAAGTTGTGAGTCATCACATATAACGTTTACACAATGATACATATAAACAAACCTTGAGTTAATGCACCATGACATGAATTTAGAATGCATCTTGATTAGAACCGAACAAACCGAACCGAACCGCACCGAACCGACTTGCAAAAGTTCGGTTCGGTTTTGAATAATGGATGGTTCGGTTCGGTTGTTCAAAATTTGATAAAAACCAAACCGAACTGACCGTTTGCACACCCCTACTTTTCTCCGCTCTCCCTCTTCTTCTCGGCTCCCGGGCGACGAACCCTAGTTTTGTTCAAGTACTTTTTCTTGTCAATTAGTTCGTTGTTTATATGAGAAGTGTTTGGGGCTAATTTGTGTATTTTTTTTTTTTGCATGAACTAGATTTGATTTCTTGCAGCAATGTCGAGATGGCAACGGCACGTGCGATCCGTTCTTCACCACGCTTCTACAGCCAGTGTCAAGAAGCAAAACCATCCCAATTTTGTAGCTCCATATAGCTCATTGTCATATTCTTCACAAATTCCTGGTAAATTTTGCTTTAAAAAAAATAATCACGAGGCCTCCTTTATGTTTATTGCAATGTATTTCCGTTAAATATATTGTTCTTTTGTAGGTGGCCAATTGGCATGTTTAAGGAGGGCATCTGATCTTTCTACCCGTTAAATATATTGTTCTTTTGTAGGTGGCCAATTGGCATGTTTAAGGAGGGCATCTGATCTTTCTACCCGAAGAATGTTCGGGCCTTTGTATCAGTGTCTACAATACTGTGTATGATGGATTTTGTTACTTACAGCTTGAATTTGTAATGCTTGTAATGATTACATGAAGAAGATCCCATGTTCCATATGCTCCGTAAAGAACTAGACAGCTTTAAGCCCGTATGGTTTTTAGATCTTATGTCAGCATAATGTTTGCTCTTCCGTAAAGAACTAGACAGCTTTAAGCCCGTATGGTTTTTAGATCTTATGTCAGCATAATGTTTGCTCTTACATAAAATGATAGTGCTCATATTCTTTGCCTTCGATCATAATTGTCTTGTTGCGAGTTCCATCAAAGAGATACATCTTCCTTTTATTAATAACTGCCCGCTTATTGCTTTTACCCGCTTAAACCATCTTTGGCACATAAAAAATTTCAGGAACTTAAAAGATGCGTGCGTTTATGTTATTTCAGGGATTTTTCAGTTCACGGAGATTGTCAGCAGAAGATGTTTCTAATGTGGAGCCTGTTTCGTCTCCTTTGACACCACTTTTGGGTGACGGTAAAACTACAACCAAGGATGCAGTCTGTAGAAAGACAACTATTCAAGCTATAAAAAAGGGCATAAAACAGGTCTGCAAATAGTTACGTTCAACTCTGTGGCCACTCCTGGAATTTTCTTATATCTTACTAAAGTATAAAATAGTGAGGCTTAAATTATAGCAATTGCATGTCTAAAAGATAGTGTAATATTTTGTGAAACTTGAAAATAGGTAATTTTATCATGTCTATCTTATCAAGGGTCAATATGAACTATATGCAGAAGTGTTCTTTAAACTTTCCACTGCCATGGATGAAGCTTTGCTTTAATGGACACCTGTTTCTAGTTATGTTGAGCGCTAGTGTTTCAGTAATAAGCATTTAAAGTCTGGTAGCAGGATTTTCTAGTTTTATCGGCTTTTGTTTACTTTTCCTAAATTGCTATATGGTTTCAATTTGATAAATGTGTTACTTTGATTTGTCCTTTTTTCCAAGATATCTTAAATTAATAGTTGAATAGCTGAATTATGTGGTCTCTGCTGAAGGGGCTGTTATCATAAGTTATGTATGTGACTTTATGATTGTGTATGAATCATCACGATAAAGGTTTGTTAGTGTTGTACATGCTTTATTGCCTGCTGCTAGCCGTAGTTGGGGTCTGGACTGAAGTGGTTAGAAAATAATCCTTTCTGAG